CTTAGCCACTTGAGCCTTTTTTTTTTTTTTTCTTTTTCTTTTAAGAGATGAGGTCTTGCTCTGGCTCTGGGTGGTCTCGAGCCTGGGAGTTTAGGCAGTCTACCCACTTCAGCCTGCTAAGTGCTAGGATTACAGGTATGAGCCACCATGCCTGGACTGTCTCTTAAAAAAATAAAAATAAAAACATTTCATCTGTCAGTATCTCAGCATGAATTTGTAAAATATTTAAACACTTAAGTATATATAACATTCTTTTCATATCTGAAAATAATGACATTTCCTTAATAGCACCAAATAGCTGGTCTATTTATAGAGGGCTGTGCTGCCACAGCACTCTACCCAGGGTTGTGTTCAGCTTTATAATTACTCATAAAAATCATTCGTGTTGTGTTTTTTCCAGCTCTTTAAAATCAGTATCCAAATAAATTCCACATATTGAAATTGATTGGTTGCCACATTGTTGAGGGTTACTGAGGAAATCTTGGGATCTTTATAGGCTCTTCTTTAGTCTTCCCTATAACCCTGTTACAGAAGTACACCTTATAGAGATTTTTAAGAAGCTGGACAAGGCAGCTCACACCTGTAATCCTGGCACTTTGGGAAACGGAGGTTGGAGGATTGTTTGAAGCTAGGAGTTCAAGATTAGCCTAGGCAACATAGCAAGACTGCCATCTCTTAAAGAAAAAAAAGAAGATGAAGAAAAATTAGCTGGGCATTGTGTCATGCATATATAATCCCAGCTGCTCTGGAGGCTGAGGTGAGAGGGTCACATGAGCCCATCAGGTTGACTTCACCACTGAAGTCCAGTGTGGGTGACAGAGCCAGATCCAGACCTTGTCTCAAATAAAAGGGCAGGAGAGGGCGGCACCTGTGGCTCAGTGAGTAGGACGCCGGCCCCATATACCGAGGGTGGCGGGTTCAAACCTGGCCCCAGCCAAACTGCAACAACAACAAAAATAGCATTGTGGTGGGTGCCTGTACTCCCAGCTACTTGGGAGGCTGAGACAAGAGAATCACCTAAACCCAGAAGTTGGAAGTTGCTGTGAGCTGTGATGCCCCGGCACTCTCCCCAGGGCAATACAGTGAAACTCTGTCTCGAAAAACAACAATATAAAAGGCAGGAGCAGGGGCGGCAGGAGCATTTCAACAGATTTCATTTTAGAAAATAATGAAAACATTTTCCACCTTCTAGGAGGAGCCAAAGGTATACTCTCAGCTAATGCAGTAGTCTGTGCTCTTACCATCAGAAAAGCATAATAATCAAAAACCACAGTCTGACAAAGAATCAAAAAACTCTGAGGGGAGGCTGGGTGTGGTGGCTCACGCCTGTGATCCTGGAAGGCCAAGGCGGGCAGATTGCCTGAGCTCATGAGTTCAAGACCAGCCTGAGCAAAAGCAAGACCGCGTTTCTACTAAAAATAGAAAAACTGAGGCAAGAGGATTGCTTGAGCCCATGAATTGGAGGTTGCTGTGAGCTGTGATGCTATGGCACTCTACCCAGGGCGACAGCTTGAGACTCAAAAAAAAAAAAAAAAAGAAAATTGAAGAAGAGTAGGAGCAAGAAAAAATAATCCAGTTTTCGTCTAACCTGGCTGGTTTTGAGGGCCAGTCAAGTGCCCGCTGTCTGCTGCACATTCACTGTGTCATTTAATCTCTGCTCTGCTGTCCTGTGCCAAAAGGACCTGAGAAGAGATTCAGAGATGAAGTGACCTTCCCTAGAGTCCCGTAGCAGGGGGCAGGGAGCTGGAGTTCTAGCCCAGGTCTTCCTCCAGCCTTGAAGTGAGAAAAGAAAATGAGGGACTGAGGATAGATTAAGAGCCTAAAAGTAAAAAAGACGTTTTAAGAAAGATAGATTGCCACGTGCAGGGGTGTCTGTTGTGGTGGAGGTGTGTGAGTGGCACCAGGGTGCCTGGTGTGGCCCTGCCGGTGGGGATGGGGCTTACCTTGAGACTGCAGCCTCCACCATGGGTTTTCTTTGCAGGAAACAAGTCGGACCTCAGGGAGCTCCGGGAGGTCACCCTGGCTGAGGCACAGAGCCTGGCTGAGCACTATGACATCCTTTGTGCCATTGAGACTTCTGCCAAGGACTCCAGCAACGTGGAGGAGGCCTTCCTGCGGGTGGCCACGGAGCTTATCATGAGGCACGGGGGTCCCATGTTCAGCGAGAAGAGCACTGACCACATCCAGCTGGACAGCAAGGACATTGGGGAGAGCTGGGGCTGTGGGTGCTGATGGGGGCAGGGCAGGCGGGCAGGGGCTCCCCTCCTCCTTGGGCTCTCTGGACCAAGCCCAGCCCTCCAGAGCCGGCCCTCCTGAACACCATGGTTCGAGAGCAGCTGAGTAAAGCCCTGGAGTGATGCATCCTCTGTCCTGGATGCTTGGTGGGCAGCCTCCCTTTGACGGGGGGAGAGAAGCAGGGTACTACCTGCAGGGGGGCTGGTGGCCCAGGGTAGGGTATGGGGCTCACCCCTCTCCATTCTTCACATTCCAGGAATGGCCTGTGCCTGCCAGTGTAGACTGCAGTGGGCGAGGCTGGGCAGGTGCCCGTCCTGCTCCACACCTACTGGTCTGGCCACTTCCTCCCTAGAGTCTGCTGCAGCTGTGGCAGCAGGTCCCTCCCTTCCACGATGTGGTTAGTGCCCTGGGTCATTCCTGGGACTCTGGCAGCTGCAAGCAAAAGCAGCCAGACCCACAGATGCAGTGCCTGAGCACAGCCCCAGGGATACCCACGCTCCTTCCAGGAGAGGAACCCGCTTCCTTCCTTCACTGCCGGCTTCTCCACTCACAGACACTTCCTTGGGGCCTGGCTCGGTGCCTTATCAAGACCTCTCAAGTTTTCTGGTTTTCCGTGTAGCTTCTCATTTTTATCTGCACAAATGTGGGGTCATGGCCTACAGCTAGGTAGGGACTGTCTCCCAGCTTGGGGCACAATGTTTTGCTGCTCAGGTTATAAAACTAGCTAATCTTTCAGTGCTGGCTCTCAAGTCTGGTGGGCTGGGGGAGTGAGATAGGTAAGTGGACGGTTAAAGTAAAAGTAGAAGATTGCACCCCTGAGACTGGGACCTGAGAGGGCCCTGCAGGGCATCCAGCCTTAGCCCATGTACAGAAATCCTTGCTGCCAAGTTCAGGACCATCAGATCCCCCATGGGTCCTAGTCTGGCTTACAAACCCCCCCAAACAAAAAAGACAAGGCCCTGGCTGTCCTCAGTCTGACCATTTTCATCCTCCTGGGCCCTTAACTTCTTCAGCCTGAGCTGGCCACTGAGGTTAGAAGGCAGAAGTTGGCTCTGGGCAGTGGCACTGTCCTTTGAGCCTGTGGCTCAGAGACATCTCAGTGACTAAGGGGCAGGGCCCAGGGAGCCAGGTGACCTTCCCAGGCTAATTCTAGTCCCTCCATGTTAGCTCAGGTCAACCTTCAGGCTCCCGCAGTGTGGCCCCCACCCCTCTAGAAACACTGTTCTCAGATACCCCAGGTGAGGTCACATCATCTCACAGTCCAGGTGTGAGGTTGGGCCAGGCTCAGCGTGGACTGCTGTGCTCCACCCAGACTGCCCTGCCTTCTACTGTGAGTACTTCAGTCTGTGCCCACCCCCTTCCTGGCAGGCCTGGCTTGTGGGGTAGGGAGCAGGCCTTTGCAGCAGCCCCACAGCAGTCTTGTGACACAGGGTCAGGGCATAGATGATGCTTCCCTGGCTGAATCTGAGATAAGCAGAGCTTGATGAAGATGGCTGAGCGTCCTTGCCAGGCTCCCTCGTGGGCAGATAGCAACTAACGGGATGGCTGGGCCTGGTTCTGGAGTGGAAGAAAGTGGCCTGCTTTTGCGAGGAGCTGCTGAGCAGGGCCTGCTTTGAGGGTGGTCCAGGCGGGTCGGAGCCCCACTGTAGGCCGGCTGTGGGTGGGGAGCTGGAGGCAGCAAGGCTGCCTGGCTTCTTAGACAGCAGCTTTGCATCCTGGCAGGGGCTGGGTGGAGCCAAATGGGGCATGGGCCCTACTACTGGCAGGGAAAGCTGATGCCTGCCCCTGTCTCCCATGGTAGTGCCTGGGCTCTGCCTGTGGGGTAGACACTACCTGGCACTGAGTGTCCCCTCAGGCCCAGGTGGGACTGGATGTACCACGAGCAGCGTCTTTCTCCAGCCTCAAGAACTTTCTGCTGGGGTCACACAGGAGGCCCAGGCTGGAAGAAGTCTGACGAAGCCCGAGCATACAGAGCCCTGCTCTTTGGTGGGTCAGGCAGGGGGCCTTGAGAGCAGAGGTCTGGGCCTGGGCCTCTTGTTTTCGAAAAGCAGCCCGATTCCAGGGCAGTCCAGCTACCTGAGCACAGCTACTGACCCTACCTTCTGCCACGAGAAAAGGCTGGTACTCCTCTTGCTTCTGGGCTGGGCTTCACAGGAGGAGCCTCGCCTATCTCAGGAGCTAGGGAAAGGAGAGAAACCTGCCCTCCCCCTTCGCAAGGACAGCCTGGGCTGCCATGAGCATGCGGGGAGGGTACAAATACTGGTAGCTGACTGGTGACTGGGGCTCATTGGTCACCTGGGACGGAGGCACCTCCGCTCTTCACCCCCTAGGCAGGAGGCCTGAAGCCCTGCAGAGGCTTGATTAGAAGTAGGGCGGTGGTTGCTGCCCGGCCTGGGGCTCACCCAGCAACTGAGGAGGCTCTACCCCACTTCCCTTGCACATGGAGATCAGAGCTGCCGGGCAGAGTGAAGCCTGCCACCCCATTCTCTGCCAGCAAGAGCAGCCTCACTGCAAGGGCTTATTCTGGAGGTGGAGGCTCACCTGCGACTCCACTTTCTCCCTCCGCTGTGCCCCCTGCCTCTGTCCCTGACAGGCTCCATCCATACCCTGGGCACCTGTTGGCCTTGATCCGTGTCCACTGCCCCAGGTCACCCTTCCTGTGGCCAGTCTGCAAGGTCAATTCTGGTCCAGGATCCCTGGGTTGGGGTTGGGGGCCCTCCACTCTGCCCAGCTTCCCCAGCACCTGGAGCAGCTCTGTCTTGTCTGGGCCAACCTGGTCTCCCGGCTGGGACCCTGTCGCTCCCCTACCAATCTGCCCTTTTACTCATTTCATCTAGAATCCACAGATGATCCGTCCCAATTGCCCTGTGAGGAGGCCCCACCCAAGCCCTGGCCTTGGCCCTAGCTCCCCCTGGCATGAATGATTACCCCCTACCCATTGCCTTCGGGGCTCCCCAGAGTCCTGCATCAAAGCCATCTCCTACAGCGAAGCTCTCTGAACCTTATCTCAGACACAAAGCCAGTGTCCGGGGGCTCAGGCCCTTGCAGGCGCCTGCCCTGCCCTGCTCTGCCTCTGTCAGACGGAGGCCAGAGTGGATAAGGGGAGATGGGAAGTGTGTGAGGCAGGACAGGTTGGGCCTCAGGTTGCTTGCTCAGAGGGGCTGGACCCTCTCCTGGCAGTCTAGGGCCTCTGGGGCAAGAAGAGAACAATTGAATCTCTTCCTTTGCTTATAAATTAAGAATAGCAAGAGCGGGTGGAGTCGGGAGCCTTGAGGAGAACCCAGACTGCTGCCTTCTGACAGCGGGAGAGTGGCAGGAAAGGACCCGGATGCTGACTCCCAGAGGTGCCAGAGCGGTGGCTCCTTCCAGCAAAGGGTTTCACCCCAAGGACATGGCACCCCTGGAGCGGGGAGCTAGAGGCTCCTAATTCATATTGAATTCAGTACTTTGTCCCCCAGGAGGGCTGCGGGTCTGGGGCCTCCTGCAGGGACTGGATGTGGGGGTGGGGTGGGCGCAGGGTAATTGCATTTGGTAATTTTTCACATTACCTATTTATGAATATATAAATCTTTGTATCAGATCTATTTTTTAAAACATGGAGAAGTTGCCTTTATGGAAACTTAGCAGAGCCAGAGTGTACACATTCCTAAACTATTAAACAGATTTCTGCAATGAGCGGCTGTGTGCAGGACTGGTTTTCTCTCCTGTGGGCCCTGGGCTGGCCCAGAAGGCCACATCCCCACCAGCTGGTCCCTCTTACACAGCTGCTTTCAGAGTAGTCTCTTGCTGGGGTGGGTGGGCCTACACATGGCCATAGCAGTCCCCAGCCCTGCTTCAGACTCCTGTGGGACCCTGTGGGCAAGATGTCAATGCCTAGGCTTGGGTCCCATCTCTGCCAGGATCACCTATGTGGCTTTGGGCCAGTGGCCAGTCACTGCTTCTCTCTGGGCCCCAGATTCCCTCACCTGGGTTTCTGCTGGGGAAGGCTGTTTGGTGATGGCTGGGGGCACGTCCACACCAAGGTCCTTGTAAGGGAGGTGTTACTCTGCTTTTTAGAGGGGAACAAACAGGCTCACAGGCAACTGTGGTTCCAAGGCAGGCCTTGGGAGCACCATGGGACGGAAGCTGCTCCTGCTCCTGTGTGCCTGGCACGTGGAGCTCGGAGGTGAGCTGAGTGCATCAGGTCCCTAGCCCCAGGAAGCTCTGTTGTAAGTAAAGTACCCCGAAATAACTAGACCTCTATTCCTGGCCACTAAAAGAAGGAGTCCTCCACTGAAACAGGGGCTTTCAGCTAGTGTGGCTGCTGGTCTGTCACCCCAGGGAAGAGGGCAGGCCGTGCTGCCCTGCAGGTCTGAGACTGATGGGACGGCTCTGGCCAGCCTCCAGTCACACCCCAGGTATGCCCCACTGGTCATGTGACCCTGGGCAGGTCATTTCTCCTCGCTGGGTTCCTGTTTCCTTACATGTGGGATCCTGAGTGCTGTCATGCCTGCATCCCAGGAAGCTGTGAGGAGACCCTGGGAGGGGAGGGCTTGGAGGAGGATGGATGGGCCTAACTACAGGCACGTGCCATCTTTGCAGGGAGAAGGAAGACCTGGGGTCTGAATGTTTCACTGTCATCTAAATATGGGGAACAAGGTCAGTGTGGTAGCTCATGCCCATAATCCTACCACTCTGGGGGGATTGATGGAGCTTAGGAGTTGGAGACCAGACTGAGCAAGAGTAAGACCCCATCTCTACTAAAAATAGAAAAACTAGGCTCAGTGCCCATACCTAAGTGGGTAGGGCGCTGGCCACATACACGGGGACTGGAGGGTTCAAACCCTGCCTGAGCCTGCTAAAACAAGAACAAATAACCGGGTATTGTGGTGGGCGCTTGTAGTCCCAGCTGCTTGAGAGGCTGAGGCAAGAGAATAGCTTAAGCCCAAGAGTTTGAGGTTCTGTCAAACCACGGCACTACACTGAGGGCCACAAAGTAATATTCTGTGTCGAAAAGATGTGAGTCTTACAACCTCCTCATTTGCCAACAAATTAATAACCTTCTCTTTCCTTTTCCTCAAACCACTTGTCCTTGTTCATCTGATGCAGCCGTGGGGACAAGTGACAAACTTCCATAGCATGACTATCCTAATGACGTAGTTGCCCCAGATCAGTCAGCTCAAGGAACAAGCCATAGGCTTTGAGTTTTCCTTTGCTCATTAGATTCAAATAGAATCATTTTCTTTCTTTCTTTCTTTTTTTTTTTTGAGACAGACTCTCACTATGTCACCCTTGGTAGAGTGTCATGGTGTCACAGTTCACAGCAACCTCAAACTCTTGGGCTTAAGTGATTACTTTGTGTCAGTTTCCCAAGAAGCTGGGACTGCAGGTGCCCGCCACAACGCCCGGCTATTTTTTGGTTGCAGTTGTCATTGTTGTTTAGCTGGCCTGGGCCAGGTTTGAACCTGCCAGCCTCGGTGCATGTGGCTGGTGCCGTAACCACTATACTACAGGTGCTGAGCCTTTTGTTTTTTTGAGACATAGTCTTTCTCTGTCACCCAAGTTTGGGTGCCATGGCACCAGCCTAGCTCATAGCAACCTCAAACTCTTGAGCTCAAGAGATCCTTCT